AACCCCCGTGAGCTTTAACTACTATCTGCTTAAGAACTCCCAAAAAGCAAAACACAAAATTGTTATCCCGACATTACCCTTATAAGGAAGCAAATAGCAGTTTAGAAGGGGTGTAGGCTTCAGGGTGCAAGGAGGAGTAAACAATGCATCTGAACGTTCACGGCTTGTGTCAAAGACTGGTATTCATGGTTGTCCGAGTCGATCACCCTCAACCCTAAACCCATGACCCCTAAACCCCAAATCCACCCGTACTAGACCCCCCCCCCCCTCCCAACACATTTAGGAACCCTGAACCCTAAACCCTAAACCCTACGCCCTAAACCCTAAACCCTAAACCGTGGCTCTTACTAGGACACCTCGCGCATCTACCCGGATGAGTGCTATGAGAAGATGGTGTTGTGGAGGGAGGCACGTCTTGAATCTCACTGGGTCTAGGGTTGAGGTGTTCGAGGTCTAGGGTTGAGGTGTTCGAGATCTAAGGTAGACAGTTACGTAACTGTAAGAAATCCAGGGGGGTGTTACGTTAGAGCTATGACAAAGGTGTCTGAGATCTCGAGCTTAAGTTCAGAAGCGCTAAGCCCTAAACCCCAAGCAGACCTCCAAAGCCTGAACCCTAAACTCTGGGCTCTGGAGCTGCGGCTGCCGGGGCGCGAGCTCTAGGGCCGAATCGAAACTTCGGTTCCCACAAGCTTGTCCGTTCAAAACCGGCGGCTTTCGGTGGCCCCTAGAATACTCCTTTAGGGTTTAGGGTTTAGGGTTTAGGGTTTAGGGTTTAGGGTTAGGGTTTAGGGTTTAGGGTTTAGGGTTTAGGGTTTAGGGTTTAGGGTTTAGGGTTTAGGGTTTAGGGTTTAGGGTTTAGGGTTTAGGGTTTAGGGTTTAGGGTTTAGGGTTTTTAGGGTTCCAACACAAAACCCTGTCTCGGAATATCTGCCTTCGGCAAGCTCCCTTGTGTTTCAGGCGTTTCGAGTGTCCATTTCATGACCTGAAGAGATTGGATGAGGGAGGCCCTTCGACCTAGAAGAATACCCCAACGCGAAAACTTGTCCCTGCTGCCCTTACTTGAGTCCAGAAAGTCCCAGGTGTCTTAAGCCTGCCAAGCGTTTCAGGATCCAGTCGATGTGAGAATTTGGCTAATTGGCTCCGGCTTGGTCCGCTGCGAGTTGTGATCGGGTGGGCATGTCTTCACGCTACCGTGTTCAGCTGCCCAATGCTACACCCTCAACCTAAGCCCCAAACCCCAAACCTCAAACCCTAAACCCTAAACCCCAAACCCCAAACCCTAAACCCTAAACCCTAAACCCTAAACCCTAAACCCTAAACCCTAAACCCTAAACCCTAAACCCTAAACCCTAAACCCTAACCCTAAATCCAAAATCCTAAACACCACACCCCAAACCCCATGAAACCCCTAAACCCTAAACTCTAAACCCTAACCCGCCCCTCTTTCACGTGCACCAGGCCTACTTCTACGCCAAGCTCCACCCGGAGGTTCCAGCGGGGTAGAGTTTAGGGTGCAGAGCTTTGGAGGTTGGGGCTTTGGGTTTAGGGGGGTATAGGGTTTAGGGTTTAGGGTTTAGGGTTTAGGGTTTAGGGTTTAGAGGGTTGGTTCTGAAGTGGGTCCCCTTGACTTGCGGGCGGGGGGGGGGGGGGGGGGGGGCGAGTTGTCACGAGCCCCTTCGCAAACGCTACATGTCCGGGGCCGCGCGGGCCGCGGAGTCATATTACAAGAGCGAAGGGAGGAAAGGAGGGAACCTTCGGGCCTTAGGGGGAATTTAGGGGCTACTTAAGTACAGGGACGATACAAGGGATGTACAGAGGCCCCTGAAAAGAGCCCTGTGGCGATCAAGCTTGTGAGGCATTTGGGGGAGTCGAGATTCGGACTGGGGCGCAGCAATAGCGAGTCGAGTAGGAGCCAACGGTAGCCTCAGCTAACCCCTAAGCCTTAAACCCTCAACCCTGAACCCTAAACCCTAAACCTAGTGCCCCTCAAAGCCATAGGTGTCCTCCACTCTTGAACCCTGCGCCCTCACTCAACCCTTCAGCCCTTAAACCCAAAGCACCTTCAACCAAAAACCAACAATAGTCTCCCCACTCTGAAGACCTAAAGCCCGGAACCCTTAAGCCCCTCACCTCGGGTTTAGGGTTTAGGGTTTAGGGTTTAGGGTTTAGGGTTTAGGGTTTAGGGTTTAGGGTTTAGGGTTTAGGGTTTAGGGTTTAGGGTTTCAAAAGGATTTTAGCGCCCTGAACCTGAAGGCAAACATTAAGCATGTTCCCATCCGAAGCGTGGAAAGTACCAGGAAGCGCGGAAGCAAGAGCCGCAGGACAGGGGTTTAGGGTTTAGGGATTAGGGTGTAGAGTGCAAAAAGGGTTTAGGGTTCAGGGTTTAGGGTTTAGGGTTTAGGGTTTAGGGTTTAGGAGCTGCGTACTTGACTGTTGTTGGTCTTGCAGGTCGCCAGGCCAGGGAGCTTTGCGGCTGCGATCTCTACGGACAAGACACCCCTCCCTCCTACACTCCCAAACTCCTCCAACCTCCCCCCCCCACCCCTCGGGCGAGACCCCCCGCCTACACTCCCAAAGTCCTCACCCCTCCCCCGCCCCCCCCCCCCCCCCCCCCCCGCAACAAAGAACGACGAAACCAAAGCCCGGCACCACCGACGTTAAGGATGTTGTTTAGCCATTGGCCGCCGCGAACCAGAACTAGATGCCCATTCTAAGTAGGCTCCTATGTGACATGCTAAGCCCTATGCCTTCGTAGACAGCTCACGGGCCGACGCTATTATCATCATGGGTTTTAGGAGTCTTAGGGCAAGTTGAACAAGAAAACCCGGACCCCAAAGTGCCCTCTTTCAACACTCCCTCCCCTCGAACCCTGTATTGATGTCTTCTTGATGCTAGCCATTCTTTGTTGAGTGATGATCATGAGTTTTTTCTGGTGCTACCCCCCAAAAAGGTTTTCTGGCGATGAGTTTCTAGGTACATCTATAAAAAGCAAACCCTCCCAACTGCCTATCCTGCACGACTTATTCGGAAATTTCCAGGAACTTCTTTCAGGGGCATCCACTTTTCGATCCTCACACGGCTTCTCTAGGCGGCTTCGGGTTTAGGTTTTCGAGTTTAGGGTTTGCAGTCGTCTGGGATCTCGGCCCGCGGTGTTGGCTCCGGGCAGGACACACCGGAACGACCAGACCCCAAGGCAATCTGGAAAGGGATGGTTTTGGAGTAGCCGGCCAGGGGGGGGGGGGGGGGGGTGGTGTTTGGGTTCAGGAGTCGGTGGGGTTCAGTTCGCGGGCTTTCGGGGCTTTAGCCCGCTTTGGCGGCGTTTTTAGGGATTTCAGGCTTCGAGTTGTCCTAATGTAAGTCAAGCCTTCAACGCTTCAAATCTCCCTCTCTCTCCCTCTCTTCCAATCTCTCTCCCTCTCTCTCCCTCTCCCTCTCTCTCTCTCTCTCTCTCTCTCTCTCTCTCTCTCTTTTCTCTCTCAGGCCTTCGAAAGGTCACCCAAAAGCCCCTAAGCCCCTAAACCCCCGCCTAAAATGTCAAGCTGCCAGGGAGCCGAGAACAAAGAGTATGAGAAGAAGCTCGAAGCTCTGCGCGCCAAGGCAAGGCTTCCCAAAAGGCTGAAGGGGTTTAGGGTTTAGGGTCTAGGGTCTAGGGTTTAGGGTTTAGGGGTAGAGTTTAGGGTTGATGGTTCAGGGTTTAGGGTTTCTGGCAACCGCCTGGTTCTTAGTAGGGAATGGGGGAATGAGGTACCCTATATAATCCCCAAAAGGGTATATATAGGAGCATATAGGGTACCTCATTCCCTGCGAAGAACCAGGCAGCTCAAGACGATTTACGACTTAGCGTTTGAGGGTGGAGGGTCAGGTCGCTGTGCAAGTCTTGACCGGGGGGGGGGGGGGGTCATATCACAGTTTTGCCGCCATGAACCCGAAACCCTAAACCATTTGCATAGAGCCCTAAACCCCCAAGCTGGCCCCGAACCCTATCCCGGGCAATCCCGATGCTGATAGTGGAGGGTTTCGGGCTTGGGGTTTAGGGTTTAGGGTTTAGGGTTTAGGGTTTAGGGTTTCCATGAACCTGGACAGGCCATACCCCGCCCGGCGCAACTTGGACTCCACGGTTTGGAATGGAAAGCGCCTTCTGAGCGCAGGGGCAAGGGGGGGGGGGGGGGGGGGGGGGGGGGGGTTTAGGTTGTAGGGTTTAGGGTTTAGGGCTTAGGGCTTAGCGCTTTGGGTTTAGGGTTTAGGGCTGGGGTTTAGGGAGCTTATGTCTATCAAGCCCGAAGGAAAAGGGACTGACGGAAAAGAAGGTGGAGGGATTGAGTAAGGGATTCGGCGCTGCGCTCCTTAGGATGGCTTTAGAATGATGCGCGGCCACGTACTTTGGGGTTGGGGTTTTAGGGTTTAAGGTTCAGGGTTTAGGCTTTTGGGGTTTAGGGTTTAGGGTTAAGGGTTTAAGGCTTAGGGTTTAGGGTTTAGGGTTTAGGGTTTAGGGTGAGAACTGCTACTGAGGTTTGTAGGAGTGGCCCAGGTTGTCTTAAGCAGGAAGATGCGAGCACTGGAAAACCTCAACGCCCTAAACCCTGAAAAGCGAAAACCTTTTAGCTCAGCCTTCAAGCGTCATATTGCGCTGTTGACTGAATTGGAGGTTGGAAAAGAAAAGTAGGGGAACTAACGCTACGACTGGTTGCGGGCTGCTCATCCTACATTTGACTACCCAAGAGCTTCAGCTCTAAACGCCAGAGCCTAAATCGTCAAGTAAGCTAGAGCTTCAACCCCCTAAACCCTAAACCCTAAACCCCAAAACCATGAACATAAACGCAAGTTTCTGCATATGCGCTTGCTGCTTGAGGTGGTGCTGAACCCTAAATTGAGCACGGGGGAGACATGGGACCCTGTAATGCCTGAACCCCAAACCGGCCCTGAGCCAGTTAAAGCCTGGCTCAAGATAGGCCTGCCTGCGTCCAGCAGCTTCTCAGCCCGATTGCAGCACTCATCCAGCCATGGTCTTGGAAGAGCTCAACGACTTCCAGCTCTTTCGTGCATGCGGCCCACTCTACCCGGCGTTCGCGATCGAGAGCCTTACGAGCATCATTCTCGGCTTCTTCTTCACCTACCTCGCCCTCCGCATCGTGGTGAGGACAGATGTCAAGAAGCCAATCAACGCTTCGTGGCGCATGTTTCGGGACTACATCTCTCCAGCCGTGGACGAGTGGTGGACTTTGATGAAGACCTGGCCGGATATGCCCAAGAAGAAGTGTGCGGATAGAATCACCTACTGTCGGAACCTCAACATTGCCATGTGCGTTGCGCAGGCAGCCGCAGCTTTCTTCTCCGTGTTCCGTTGGCTGCACATTGGCAATGTCAATGGTCTGCGGTACCTGGGCTACGCCTTCACCTGCTCCCTGATGCAGGCAGAGCTCGTGGTTCTCATCGCTCCCTACGTTCCTTGCTACAAGCTCAACGTCGTCTTCGTGGTCCTCTTCACCCACGCCTTCCTTATCTGTGGCTGGATCGGCTCCTTGCACGAGGGCTTCCTGTTTGAGGATGCCTCGTGGGAGCTCTTCAAGTCGTCCTGGGACGTCTCAATCCTTGTGATCACGAACAAGGGCATTGCCATTGGAATCACGACCTTCTGCCTTCTCTTCCTCTGCCTCGTGCAGATGCCCTTCCTTGCCTTGTGCTACTTCTGGGCAGGAGGGTGCCGTGCCCACCGTGACCTCCCATACTACTACCTCCGGGTGATGTGCGCGGTTTGGTTCACATGGCCGGCCTTTCCATGCTGGTGGCTGATCTCGGCAGAAGGCCTCGGCCTCCTCGGGGATGCGAAGAGCAACGCCGTGGGCTTTGCCGTGCTCAACATGATCTCCAAGGGCGGCTTCACCGTAAACATGCTCAAGATTGGTGCGGACCACCGCCGCAGGTGGCCCGACGCGCCAGCGCCCAAAAAAAGTCAGAGCTGGCTGGTTGGAAAGCTCCAAGAGTATGATGCCGAGTTCACGGAGAATCAGACCATCCAGCGCTTGCAGGCTGAGAATGCTGAGCTGAAGGCGAAGGTCATGAACACGCCGCCACAGGAGCCGATGCCTCAGGATGCACAGGAGGAGGCCAAGAACCCGGACAAAACGGCTGAGTCGATGGGTCGACCCGACACACTTTGGGTGTGAGGCGCACGTGTCACAGTCGTGCTTAAAGGGCTAAGGGGAGTGAAGAAAGTGTAGGGGTTGTGAGGTTTGTTTTGTCAGGATGCACTCCTCCACTCTCCTTCAAGCACACAGTGCGTTTGCCGAGATTTGCAAAGGTTGCTTTGGATTTTTAGAGGGCTCCGGGTAGCGCTGTGACACCAAGCATTCTGCATCACAACCACTGAGCTTCCGCACTGTGTCAACTGCAGTTCAGAGCCTCGGAGTGCCCAGAGGACCTTCACTGATCACTCTTGCAGGGAAGGGTGGGGAGCCTGCCGTGTTGGGCAGCTCTCTTCCCCACTTGCTTACTGGCTCACAACCCAACTTTTCAACTTTTTGGGCTTCTTATAAGGTAGCTGATTCTGAAAGTTTAAACTTTTATTTCCTTGGGTTTTGGGGCCAGTAAGTTTGGGCCCTAGCAACTGATCAACTCTCACTAGACAGCTGCTTTGCTAGCCTTGAGAAGTTTATCCTTAGGATGACTTCTCTGCTGGGTGGAGCGCGGACGCACATCCTGGGCTCTGAACTAACCCTAAACTCTAAACCCTAAACCCTAAACCCTAAACCCTAAACCCTGGCGGGTCCACAACAGACCCGCGCAAAACTGTGGCCCCACCAGCAAACCTGAGATGCAGGACTTAGGTCACCGCCTTTAGTGTTGAGAAATGACGCCTTTCTGCTCCCCAGTGCGCCTAAAAGCAAGAACTTCCAGCCATTTCTGCCCAGAAGAAGGTTTAACCTTCTCGGAATGGATCAGACGATGTAAACCATGGACGTCATCATGCTTGGGCCATGGATGCTCTCTTCTCATCAGAGCAGAATAGACCATGGACGTCATCATGCTTGGACCCTGGATGCTGTCTTCCCAGAACTGAGTAGACCATGGACGTCATCATGGTTGGGCCATGGCAGTGCAGAAAACATGTAGACCATGGACGTCATCATGCTTGGGCCATGGATGCTCTCTTCTCATAGACCATGGACGTCATCATGCTTGGGCCATGGATACTCTCTTCCCAGAACGGATTAGACTATGGACGTCATCATGGTTGGGCCATGGATGCTCTCTTCTAACTATGGTGAAGCAAACGTGTTATTTAGACCCAGGGCTGGGCAGAAGCGGATGCAAGCAAGACAGGGCTTAGTTTAGGACACGTCGAAAGTGCGAAGTAGTGCAAAAAGCCCCACAAATACCAGTGCAGTCTACGGATGCCCAAAAAATTGCAGGATAATTTTGGATAAGAATTGCGGGGATGAGGTGATGGGCGAAACCCAGGAAACATCGGTATTTACAGGGGATTCTGAGGGCAACAGAGCTAAACTCCGAAAACGCGTGGGTCTGTTGTGGCCCCGCCTAGCCCTAAACCCTAAACCCTAACTAATTGAGATTCAGCTTGGCTAGATGCATTGCAGCCTTCCGGCTTCGGATTCGGAAGCCTCGCCTTCCCACCCAGCAGTAGCTTCAGCAACGCAGCAAGGGTCCCTTTGCAGGCCCCGTTTGAGACGTGCAGCAGCGGCAGCGTGTAGGGTTTAGGGTTTAGGGTTTAGGGTTTAGGGTTTAGGGTTTAGGGTTTAGAGTTTGGGGCTTGGGGTTTGGGGTTTAGGCTTTAGGGTTGAGGGTTCACGGTTTCGGGTTCTAAGGCGGAGGTCTCGGGAGCATGGCACTGGTTCATGGGATTCCTCAAGCTTGCAGTCGCAGCGCAACAACGTGGTCCAACCTCGCGCCATTTTTGAAGACTGTCTACTACAATACCCTCTTTGCGCGGTTGGCGCGGTATTTAATACCTACACCACCGGAGACTTCAGAGAATCGCCATGAAGAGACAGTTGGTCGCTCACTTCAGCATCTCTCACGTGAAAAAGGCTGGAGGCTGTACTGGTGAAAGGTGCTAGTGTACCAAACAAAGCAAGGCTACCCCAATCCCGCTGACATACTGTGAATGGTTCATAGTTCGTAACTCAAGGTGGTGACAATGCAGCTATGACAATTTGTACATAATTTGTGGAGTATTCTGCGAGTGACAAGGCGTAAGTCGCAAGTCGTAATTCGTAATTGGTTGCAAGGATAAGTATGGGGCAAGTTTATCGCAGGGTCGTACGCTGTCCCTTGGTGGTTCTTTGGGGCGAATGCAATGCAAGGTTCTGGGTGGCTACTGTAAACCTTAAACCCCAAAACTTCGCGATTCGTCCAGCTATGTGGGTGACAAAAACCCTAAACCCTAAGCCGATTTTTTGAGGTATCACCCTAGCTTGAGGATCTATCGAAGCCTTGCCTGCCTTGAGCGAGCGTGAGAGTTGAAACCCCTAAACCCTGGGCCGTTTTGGGCGACCGCAATGCGGGTGTACCGGCATGATCTTAAACCCTAACCCCGAAACCCTAAACCCTAAACCCTAAACCTTCAACCCGAAACCCCAACAGCGGCGACGAACGCCCCCGAAGACTCGCAGCGAACGTCGCTTCAGGCCCATGACGGTCAGACCCCAAGCCCCCGAACCCCAAAACCCATAAAGGGGTTTAGGGTTTAGGGTTTAGGGCTTAGCCTGACACCCCGAAAGTTGAAATCAGGCAAGAGCTGAACACTGGGGTGATTCTCCGAACCCCGAAATCCCTAAAGCCCCGCATCCCAAACCTCCAAACCCCTTCAGCTGTGCAAAATCGCCCTAAACCCTAAACCCTAAACCCTAAAAAACCCCGTGCCTTTTAGCCCGCGAGCCCCCTCAGCCCCTCGCGATCCGCTTAAGGAAGAAGCCCGCGAAGAAGAAGGGCAAGAGTGAGCTGTAGGTCCCCTCCCCCATGGAACTTCAGGTTCTTATGGACCTAGGGTTTAGGGTTTAGGGTTTAGGGTTTAGGGTTTAGGGTTTAGGGTTTAGGGTTTAGGGTTTAGGGTTTAGGGTTTAGGGTTTAGGGTTTAGGGTTTAGGGTTTAGGGTTTAGCGGCAGATATTTCCCCAATGTACTGGTTGCTTGCGAGCATCTTGGGTCACCTAATGACCAACATAGGAAGGTGTTGATATGTTGCGGCATGTCAAGGGACTTGCAAAGCACACAATGGCAGTATGTCTACAATGTACTTTGAAAACCTAAACTTTAAACCTCTACACCCTAAGCAACCCTACACCCCAAACCCCTAAACCGAAAACCCTAAACTTCATGTAGAAAGCGGCTCCTGCTTATGACCCCCAGATATATACACTACCCTACACCCCTAACCCTAAACCCCAAACCCTAAACCCCAAACCCCAAACCCCAAACCCCAAACCCTAAACCCTAAACCCTAAACCCTAAACCCTTCGCTTGCATGGAGCCCCAAACCAACGCACTGACGCAGGCGGGCGTTTAGGACTCACGGGGGGCTTAGGCAGCCCAGGGCTGAGGATTTCAAAGGTTTAGGGTTTAGGGTTTAGGGTTTAGGGTTTAGGGTTTAGGGTTTAGGGTTTAGGGTTTAGGGTTTAGGGTTTAGGGTTTAGGGTTTAGGGTTTGGGGTTTAGGGTTCCTAGCGTTCAATGGGGCGCAGAAAGTTTAGGCCAAAGGGTTTCGGGCTCCAAGCGGACCGAGCTTCCAGTCTAGAGCTTGCGAGATGTGATCCCAAGAAATTCATGACCCTAAATCCTAAACCCTAAACCCTAAACCCTAAACCCTAAACCCTAAACCCTAAACCCTAAACCCTAAACCCTAAACCCTAAACCCTAAACCCTAACCCCTAGCCCTAAACCCTAAACCCCGAACCTTTGAAACTGTAAGCACCCTGAAGCAAACAGCTCATAGCCGAGAAGCTTGCGAGCAAAGCTTGCCCTTGAGAACCACACCGAAGTCCTACATCCTAAGCATCCCTCCCCCCCCCCCCCCCACGCCTAAACCCCCAGCTTGCATAGTAGCCCTGAATTCTTAAATCCGAGACTCCCCAGGTATGTTGAAAGCCTTGGAAGTCCAGGGGTACCCTTTTCCCCCTTTTTTTGGGGGTTCTGGTTTCCCTTATATAAAATAGCCAACCCAAAAAAGGGCGCCCTTATTCGAAGATGGTTACTGGGCTACCAAGAAGCATGTTTAACAGCTTTGTCAGCCTACTCCTGCACCCGAAGCAAACCTTTTTGTGTGATGGGTTTAGGGTTAAGCTTCGGGTGAAATGCAGAAATCTTGCGCAATGACGCTTTGCTGATAAGCTTAAACGAACCCGAAACCCTCAACCCTAAAACCCTACAACCCTAGACCCTAAAACCCAAAAACCCTAAAACCCTAAAACCCTAAAACCCTAAAACCCTAAAACCCTAAACCCTAAACCCTAAAAGTGTAAGGCAATGCTGAAGCTCTCGGAATGGAGCATGCACTAAACAATGGCCAAGCGCACATGAGTACGTGCCCAAAGATAACCTTCAGAGCTTGTGTGAGATTTGAGGTGCGAAATGGGGTCACTCTCCCAGACGTCGGGCCACAGGGCCCTCAGAAAAACCGAGCGGAGCTGGAGTGTGGGAGCAAAAGGTTGCCCCGAAGCTCGCAACCGGTTGTGGGCTTAGGGCTTGGGGTTTAGGCTCCATTTTCGGGCTCGGGTTGGGTCTCCGTATGCACAAAAGTAGGAGCTCAGGGGCCTTGCCCTGAAAGAGATTCATCTGAGCAGGCAAGCCCAGCACCCTTCAGCGCGTACGGAAGTGTGTTTGCGGATGTCGATCAAGCAGCACAGGTCGAGGATCATATGAAGCAGGGTTCATGTTTTTGCTGAGCGCATATAAGGTTGCTTTTAATGTTGGTGAGTATATATATTTGGTGTCCTTATAAGAAATATAAACCCTACTTTATAACACAGCTGTTTCAGCAGATTTGGCTTGGGGTTGTGCCAGATCTCTAAGGGCAGTAGGCCGCAAAGCAGCGAACCTGTTTCCATGTACCAAGACTAAGACCTTTTCTTTGTTTCCGGGGGGGGGGGGGGCAGGGCGGCCACAAAAATTGCCACAGATCTCGCTTGCACCCTCACGGCGCCAACCGCAGCA